AAACCTCTTACGCGCTCAAGTAGCGTTGTAGGGCGGGAAACCGGTGCGACGGTTGCGGCGAAGAGGATAAAAAATATATTTTTTATGTATATATAAGTACCCCTGAACGCTCACGTAGTGCAGAGGGGGGAAATCTATGTTTTTTCTGACTCTTGCTCCACACCCTTAAATGCTCACGTAGCGGGCGGAGATAAAAAAGTATACATGCGACCGTGGTGTCATTTTTTGACACCTACATGAAGCGCTCACGTAGCGTCGAGGGGAAGGTTGCCTCTTGGTTTTTCCCCTAAACGGGGGAGACGCCGGGAGGCTGCCGAAATTTTCATTGAAACAGGGGACTTGACAGAATTCGAACAAGCTGAACTTGAACTTGGACCCGGACTTGTTTGAACTCAAGAAGAAACAAGGACTTGTACTCGAAGAAGAACAGTGGACTTGTGGACCTAATTCAGAGCCAAAATCTAAATGATTTCTAAAGGCCAAATTCAAATAAAATGAAGCAAAATTCAAATCAATTCGAACACAAATGAAGTTGCAAAGACTTCAGAAGACCCTGTACAAGCACTTGAACTTGTACTTTGAACTCGAACCGGATTGAACACTTGGACTTGATTTGGTCCAAATGAAATTGACTTGAGGCTCAATTTGAAATAAACAATCAATAAAGAATTTCAAGATGTCAAAAGAATCTTTTAATGCAAATGATGATTGGAAGAAATCATCCAAGCCTCATGCAAGCAAATAGTGATGCTTGTGCTTTAACATTGAATTTCTCTTATGCAATAATCATCTCATTTGGAATGAAATGTTGAGAGATATGATATCAAACTCATCACACGTATGGCAAATCATTTCTGAAGACAAGGAGTTGCAAATTTCTCCTATACACTATCGGGATCCCCTGCCATAAGCAACAATGCCTATTGATTGAGATGGCAATACTGGAGACTAGCAATCAAAGACTTGTCCTGTACAAACAAATACAATCACCCCCCACCTGAGATTGGTGAAAGGTGGATGTGATGCAAGGACAATGGTTCTCCTATGAATATTTTCAGGAGGTCGTAGTGTATACAGCGGTCCCCTGCAAATGGATACTTGTGGATAACAACAGTGTATTGAAAGTACAATGAATCACTGTGGACACAAGTACGGATATCACCTGTCGCTTGTGGATAACAACAGTGGGCATATCATAGGTACAACGAACCACTGTGGGCACAAGTATTGATATCACCTACGACATTGGTGATCAAGATCTTCAAGTATTTTGGGTACAAGGGCGACTCGATGTACAAAAAGTACTCCCTGGCAGAATCGGAAAGGAAGTTTGAACAAATTAGAACCAAACTTCCTGGTGTTCCAAAGTCTCTTCTTAGTTCTATACTTAAGAAGAAAACAGTTCTGGTGCCCAAAAATACCGGAAATAACAAGTCTACTACACCGAAGATCCTAGAAGGAGTTCTTTTCAAATCAGCGACAGCGAACTTCAAAGTCCAGAAGAAACCTCCCCGGTGAATGAGAAAAGGTGAACCTAACATCAAGACGATGAAATCTCTCCGGACAACCTACAAAGCAACAAACTTCAAAGTTTAGAAGACCTCTCCCCGGTGATTGAGAAAGGGGAGTCAATATCAAGATGAGAAAATACCTCATGACATCTAAATAACAACGCCACCGAATCTGCAACACTTATGCAACAAGACAGAAGGCGTCTACAATCTAACGCCACCGGATCTGCAACACTTATGCAAGCAGACAGAAGGCTTCTACAATCTACAACGCACCGCCACCGGACCCGCAATATCTATGCAAGCGGACAGAAGGCGTTTACAAAATATTTCAAAATACCCCCGCACGTGCACTATAAATTGTATACACATAGGTACACTAAAGGGGAAAGTACAATCTCGACCCGTATGGGCCCCGACGAGCGTGTTATTGGCACATACGTGACGCCTAGGGATGCTGCGCGGGTCAATAAGTGAATTCTGATTCGAACCTGATCATTCTATACGGATCAATAGGAGTCAACAGGGTTCAAACTTTCAAACAAATACACGGTTGTGGTGACCGGTGTATTTGTTTTAATACATTCAAATTAGGCCTTCAAAGCCTATAATCAAGAAAATTCACTAACAAAGACACAAAGTCTATGAAACCCGATCCTCCTAATCAGATAAATAGGAGTAGACAGGGCTCGAATCATCGGGTAAATATGCAGTCACGAAATTGACCGGAATATTTATTTCATACATTCATATTAGGCCTTCAAGGTCCTTAACAAAGAAAAGTCATAAACAAAGACATAAAGCCTACGAGAAACCCGATCCTCGAGCAACAGCTTGGTCGAGTTGACACGGTTCAATCAATAAAGAAAAATGACCCCAAACACGGATGATGGCCGTGTTGGATGAAGATCTTAACCGGAGGGGTTCACAAATACTTTCAAATGTCTCCTAAAAGTCCATTTCACAAAAATTCCCATAAATATTTAAAATTGAAACTAAATTATCAAACCACTTAAAGCAAAATCCATCCACCCTCCACAACAGTTTGCCGAGGTGGACAAATTTAAATATAACTTCAGCTCACAAAGAGCCAAATGCCTAGTCGAAAATATCACTAGGATACATTCTCAAACCAATCACATGCCAGTAAGGACGTGGTACGTGTCCTCTAACCGACGGTTTTGCCGCCAAATGGCACCGCAGGATAAACGGTTATGACGACCCAGGGCCCTCTGAACCGAGTAGTTTTGCCGCCAAATGGCACCACGAAATACTGGTTATGGCCAAAGCCAATACGTTCCTTATTGGCATCAAATCCTTGAGTATGAATCAATAGGATATGAGCGATAGGGCACAAAGCCCTCTGTTAGCTAAGGTGGATTCAAATTTGTCCCTTTAGACAAACATTCAACCCAGGTCTAACAGGTTCCCTTGGACGAAGCAACCCATGGCTACCGACAAGGATCCTTCTGTCAGGTTAGGTCAACTACCTCCTCTGACTAAGTAGACCAGGGACCACGATGGTCCGGGACGACGGAACCATGGGATCTTGATCGGGTCTATCATCCATTTCCCCACCATCCACTTTAAGTGCAAGATGGTGCAATTTTCAATTTTAAATATCAAAATTTTCAAATCTCCAAACTCATCAATACCCGAATCAATGTTGCTACTATATGCCAGATAACATGTATCTCTATGTACCTAATTGATGACTAGCCTTAATCGAAAGTTCTCTCTCGTGATCGAGAGGGGTAATTAACTATAGGGGTTTGCGCTTATAGGAAACTAGAACTCAGATCATAAAGTCCTCGCACAATGAGGGCGAAATCTCTGGGTAGTGTCTTATCTACAAATCCATCTGCCTTCCAAAATTTACCTCGGAACTTAATTCTGTTAAAACTCCCTCGCCGAATAAAAAAAAACAAATCAACCGCGACGGGGAGGCCGAGGCCGAATTTTCGGAGCCCACAAGAGGAAAGCTAAAAAAGCTTAAATTCACTACAACTCTTTGAAAACCTTAGGAAAATACTATGTTGAGTCATTTTCATTCTTCTCTTGAACCTTAAAATTTTTTTACCGACTTGTGAATTGGAGTGTTTTCCTGGGAAACATTCTCTAGGTCAGACTCGCCGATTAACCTGTTTGTGTGCATACAAGAAGTGAGTGATTACTATGAACAACATTCCTTTAGAATCACAATCAGCTTTAGATGATTTCTGCACACAAGCTTCAAAGTTGTGACTTGTGAGACATGTACTGTCTAAGCAAGGACGTAATCAAATGAAATAATACATTTGACTTCAAAATATTGTCATAAACTACATCTTTTTTAAAAAAAAAGAAATATAAATTACACTAACTTGCAGAAGCATGGATAGGTAACTTTATTTAACTATTTTAAAATGACTGAAGTTGCAATATGATAAAGTTCAACAATGAAGGTACACTTTCAATGTCGATAGCCACTCTTACATTCCTTAGTATCTATGATACTGATGCAAGAGAAAGAATCAAACGTAATCAATCCAATTGTTGCCCTTTAAAAATGGCTTATTTCTAACAAAAGTTAAATCTTATAAGGAAAGACGGGAATCAAACCCAAAGCTTGCTAGTTGTCATACCGCCTATGAAGAAGGCACACTTAAATAATTCAAATATAGTGCAGGTAGTAATACTTCAATATCAAATCAAGGAAAATTCAATCGCCTTGACAAATAGTGGATGCAATCTAATTCAAATATTATTTGATTTAGAGATGCAAGAAGAGAATTATGTTAAACCCAACAATGCCCGTGATATTAATTTCATAAATTAGAAATGAAAAACTGATTCACAGAATGTATTGCATTAATTCAGTTCCACATCAAAAATCAATCAGGATTAGAGTAGCCCACTTGAAATAAATAAAGGGACATAAAATGAAATCATGAATTAGACTTTTTTCAACTTTGAATTTTATTGAAAAATAACAGGAATTAATCCAAAGTGCAATTTTGTTTTTCTGGAAAGTAACTAGACAATTAGAGTAAGATTAAATCTAACTGCAAATCTCTAACAAGGTTATATGATATATTGAAAATGGAAATTATGGAAGAAATGAATAAGGACATTCAAAATCTTTCAAAGTACATTTATATATTCATTATGAAGCCACAATTTCTTTCAAGTTCATTTCTTTTTCCCCACCTTCCTAGGACAAAATTAAGCAGCTAACAATTCTGATGTTACACATCACCACTCGTGAGTTTATTCTCGTATATCTATTTTGTAACCATGAAATGAATTTCAGGTGTACATAGATTACATAAAAGAAGTTAAATATAAGCAATATCATAGATCTACGTTCATTAAACCCAAGAAGCTGACTAATAGTATATAATGACAACGAAAAAAGAAGACTAAAAGACCTTGACTGATAAATCTTCTGAATCAACAAGCCTAACTGATTCTATATTCCATAAATGAAAGTTATATATGAATGTGCACCTTCATGGCTCTTGTAACTGCAACTTTAATTTGTTGTGAAGTCCAAGTTGGATCAGTGTGTGCACCACCAAGGGGTTCCTGTGATCCATACAACCATCAGAAATAAAAAAAGCTGCCAAAAAACATAATCTTTCATTGTATTATCCACTTTGAACATACAGACAAAGGAAACAAAAATCAAAGAAGAAAAAGACACCAGGAAGTTTATAAAGAAAAGAAAGGTTAATAATGCGAGAAGACACCATGAACTTCATGGTCTAATGCCTTTACAAGAGGTTGTTCTTAGAATAAAAGATTGAAGGATTTATGGTGCAGCTTTATTCAAGTTCTGTCTTGTTGACCTCTATGCATGAACCAAAACGCAAAATGAGGGCGAAATCTCTGGGTAGTGTCTTATCTACAAACCCATCTGCCTTCCAAAATTTACCCCGGAACTTAGTTCGTTAAAACTCCCTCGCCGAATAAGAAAAGCGAGCGGAGGCCGGGGCTGAATTTTCGGAGCCCACATGTCTTTGTTGTCATCAACATCATTATCGTCCCAAGTGTTGATTCATGTTACGAGTTGCATTTGGTGCTAGTTATTTTTATCCGTTCATCTTAACCCAAAGCTAACCAAGCAATATCTAATGTGCTAATCATCCTTCCAAATTAATTCAGTGGCTTCTTTACCAAACTAGTGCTTCTTCAGTCCTCTATGTGTATACAAAAGAAAGATTATAAAGCACAAGAAAGGTAGAGAACTAAAATCAATATGAAGGCTAAGAAGGACATGCCACACTTGACATAAATAACGGGCAAGAAAGGAAACACAAAGCTGTTAAAAGGATTAAAAAAGAACAACATTTATACAAGAGAAACTGATTATGGTTATGATCATGATATACAGCCATCTAAATATCAACATTTTCCGAGCTTCCTTACTACCTGGCAATACATTAGAACAGCCCAATTGACACTATTGCTACCTCAAGAAAGCTTTTATTTTAAGTTGAGCAGTTCGTAGCATAATGTGCAAGCCAATGGAGAACTTAATGAACTTAAAATAGTTAACTTGATGAACTTAAAGTGGTACACGTGGAGTGGAGTGGAGAGTCTAACATAAAGGAAGGCAGTGGGAGCATGTTTACCCTCTGAATAGGGTTTAGCTGAGGGATTAAAAATTTAATTGAGGATGGATGAAAAAGGTAAACCTTGCATAAAGTAGAGCATTCAGCTAGATTTTACCGGCCAATAATTGTGGTTATCCTCACGGTAAAGTGACTACCAAAGTTTATTTTGGTTATCATCACCATATAGTAATTATCATAGTTCAAATTATTCTTAGCACATTAAGTTTATAGCCGCCAATTTTACCAAGGTTCAAAGAAATGTGCAGATAATGATCAAGTAGAATTACAGTATCCCATTCTTCCACTATTGCATGTCTGTTTCAATCAACGATTGGATGCTTCTAAAGTTAAAGCATTTTAAAAAAAAAAACATAAATGAAAAAGAAGGCTAGTACATCGTTACAAGATTTCAAGTTAATTATATGACTATAGAGAAAAGGATCAAAATGATCCCCTAATTCTTTATGAAGACCAAAATGATCCCCCGACAATATTAACATGTCATTTTGGCCATTTAACTCTTTAAAGAGTGACCTAAATGATCAAGTCATCCAAACTAACAAATATTGGAGTTAAAAGGTGTTAAAATAGGGGAAGTTTTGGGATTTTCTTAATTAAATTATTTAGTAAATACAATTTTCAAGTAATTATATTTTGTCTTTTCCAACATGTACTTTCATATATAAGCGGGAGTGAATTGAGATCGTCCGCTGTTATGGTGAATTTTTTAAGATGATGAATTTGTCCTCATCCAATACATTTTAATTGGTTTTTGTAAAGAGGAGCATTATTGTTTTGTTCAATTGTCTTCGCTACATTTTCTTTAGAGTGTAGTGTCTTAATTTATTGTAAAGTGTTGATGTCTAAATGTGATGCTTCTATAAACTTGTGAAAGATTTGACTTCATTTGATGGCCTTTTAATTCGTTGATATGCATATTAAATCCCTTATCTTTTTAATAGGGAGAAGATTTGTTATTTCTTTGTTACTTTGTGGATTGGGATTCTCAAATATTGTGGGCCTCATCATCTATATCTAATACTCACATTGGTTGCTCGACTGAACTTTGACTGAGCTAGTGGGGGCTGGATGCACGAAGACATTTTGCTTAAGCCGAAGGACGTCAACTCCATGGGAAAATGGAAAGCTGCAATTCTTCACTCGTCTCCTAACTGAATCATTGTTGTACTGCGAAGAACATAAATGAATCATAGCTAGTGTGAAGAACATAGACGAGGCGCATTCCCTCGACAATCTCCTAGTTATGGTCTCTCCCTAAATATCTGTCATCACACATCTCCCTCTCGACTGCCGTGCAAAGAATTCTGACACTACTTCAACTTAATGGTTGAAGGAATTGCATGGCAACTCATGCGTGATGTGAAGACTGCTCATTTGCGTTTATCTCCAAGCTAAAATCACGGGTGATGGGGTTCGACACTACTTGAATATGGCGTGCACAATGGGAAGGGTAAAACTGCTCCTTAATTTCCAAGCTGTCTTGATTGTTGGGGTTCGATGAGGTGCAAGTATCAGTTTTCCTGATAAACAAGTTTGCATTCCATAAATACTTTCCCACCATACGTGACATTAAGACATTAAATATTTTTACCATTAAATTATTAATTTTTTCCGTTTAAAATTAACGGTGGTACTATTTTGATTCCTCTTGAAAAAGTTACGGGATCAAATTAGAACTTTTATATAGTCAGAGACTATTCTGATCCTTTAGTAAGAGTAAAGGGACCAATGCATCCTTTTCTCTATGAGTACATGAAATAGGCTAATGTAATAATAAACTATTATAGATCACAATAATAGAATATTTTGTTGCAGTAAGTCAATAATGTCATATCGTGCCAGCTAATCATAACAAACAAATAAAATACACCAAGTGCACAATCTTGCATGTATGCCTTACTATATGTAAGCGTCACTATCTTAGGTGCAAAGTGCAGCGAAGCATATGTGCTAGGACATCACAACAAATCAATTTAATTGTGGAAAGAATGGGTTTAGTAAGGATGTCAACCACAAGAAGAAAATTTATTCCATTTGTAATTTAAAAACAAGGGTTCCCTATTACTACTACCAAGATTATATTAGCAAACATCATTCCATCTGCTTTCCCAAGTCTCGTGAATGCATCACCGTGGGTTCCGAAAATTCGGCCCCAGCCTCCGCCCACTAGTGCTTTTCTTTTTGGCGGAGTATTAACGAAATTAAATTCCGGGGTAAATTTTGGAAGGCATATGGGTTTGTATATAAGACACTACCTAGAGATTTCGCCCTCATTTTGCGAGGACTTTATGATCCGAGTTCTGGTTTCCTATAGGCGCAAGCCCCTATAGTTAATTACCCCTCCCGATAACGATAGAACTTTCGATTAAGGCTAGTTGTCAATCAGATTTGTAGAGAATACGTGTTATCTGGCATATAGTAGCAGCATGGGTTTGGATTAGGGAATTAGGTTTGAAGTTGGGAATTTGAAAATTTTGATATTTAAAATAGAAATTTCACCACTTTGTACTTAAAGCAGATAGAGGGAGAATGGATGATGGACCCGATCAAGATCCCATAGTTCCATCATCCCCGGCCATCGTGGTCCCTGGTCTACTTAGTCAGAGGAGGTAATCGACCCAACCTGACAAAAGGATCCTTGTCAGCAACCATGAGTTGTTTCGTCAAAGGGGATCTTGTAGACCTGGAGTGGATGTTTGTCAAAGGGGACAAATTTGAATCCACCTTAACTAACAGAGGGCTTTGTGCCCGATCAATCATATCCTATTGAATCATATCTCAAAGAATTGATGCCACTAAGGAACGTATTGGCTCTAACCATAACCAGTATTTCGTGGTGCCATTTGACGGCAAAACCACTCGGTTCAGAGGGCCCCGAGTCATAATCGTTTATCATGCGGTGCCATTTGGCGGCAAAACAGCCAGTCAGAGGACACGTACCACGTCCTTATTGGCTGGAGATTATTTGAGAATTGATCATAATGATATTTTTGACTAGACATTAGCTTTTTGTGAGCTGAAGTAAATTTCAATTTGCCTACCACGGCAAACTGTTGCGGAGGACGGATGAATTTTGCTTTAAGTGGTTTGATGGTTAATTTTCATTTTTTAAATATCTTAGAGTTTTGAGATTTTGGAAATTTATGTGGAGTTTTAGAGTTTGGGTGGCATTTAGAAGGCATTTGAAAGCATTTATGAACCCTTCCGATTGAGATAGACATTCAACACGGCCATCATCGGGGTGACTTTGAAGTCACTTCAAAATATTTGAATTTTGTGGGCATTTTGAAATATTTGAAATTAACTCCTCCGGTTGAGATCTGCATTCAACACGGCCGTCATCGGGGTGTCTGTAGAGTCATTTTCATTGATTAAACCCTGTCGAACCTATCAACTTGTTGATAGTGGATTGGGTTTTGTAGGTTTCGGACCTTTGTTAGTGAGTCTTCTTTATTGAAGACCTAAAATAAATGTATAAAATAAATATCCCGACCGTCCTTGCGGCTGCATAGTTATTTAATTGTCGAACTGTGTCGACTCCTATCTACCCATATAGAAGGATCGGGTTCGGACTTAGACTCACCATTTGACCCCGTAGCATCCTTAAGCATCACGTGTATACTAATAACATGCTCGACAAGGCCCATGCGGATGAATGATTTTATCGATGAATATTTCTTATAAAGGGCCTTAAAGGCCTAATATGAATGTATAAAATAAATATCCCGGTCAATCCCGTGACCGCATATTTATTTAATGGTTCGAACTGTGTCGAGAAGAATCGGTTCGAACTTAGATTCATCATTTAGCTCGCGTAGCATCCCTAGGTGTCACGTGTATATCTATAACACGCTCGTTGGAGCCCATGCGGGTTTATGATTGTGCTTGCCCCTTATGTACATATGTGTATACAAACTATGGTGCATGTGCGGGGGCATTTTTGGAAAT